GAAAATTGATTTCCACCAGCAATATAGTTATTTTTACTCAAGACTTCATCCATAAAGCTTAAACTTGATTTTAACACGTCGTTACCTTCTTTTCGTAATTCATCGATTGTTTGTTGTGAATATTTTCTAATAGGAGCAAATATATTTGCTCTTATTAGACGCACTGATCCATGACGTAAGTTCATGTGATGCCAGTCCAACCAATAATCGACTCTAGCACGTTGTTTAATATCATTTGGAAAATAATGATCAGGTATTTTCCTGCTTGCACATATATAGCGCATTATTGTATGAGATTCGCCCAAATGAAAATCATCATCAACAATCGATGGAACTTTTCCAGCTGGATTCACCTGTTTATATTCAGTGCTTTGTGTTTCTCCTTTCATGATGCTGATTTCATGAACTTGATGTTCAATATTATTCTCCATCAGTAATATAGCAACGGCACGACAAGGTTGAGATAACCAGTCGATATATAAATGAAGAACCATTGTAGTAATCTAAATAATAGAGAAAAGACAATGAGAAGATTTTTGTCGAAAAGAATTTCACGATTTCTAGTTGTACAAAGAATTGAATTAGAATTCCACAAGATGTTCAAGGATGTACAATTATTACTTCTACAAATGGTATGCACAGAAAAATTTTGCGGATATGCATTTTTGAAACAAAAAAGTGTAAAATAACTCGCTGAAGCATAAGGATACAACGATTCAAAGCGTGCACTTTATTAATTCTTTTAGGTTGACTAGATGGAAGTCAAAATAAAACGAAGTCCACAAATTACTTCTCAACATTGTAATGATTTTGGGTCATACATAAAGTTTCAACTTTTACAACAACTTACTTTCAGAGACACAAAGCCAAGTTTGCTAAACTATTCAAGAGCCCAGGTGTATATTATTTTATCAAGTATATTTGCTATAGCATGTTCGAGAAGAAAGCTGAGTAAATAATAAAACTGTGACATATAAGAAAAAGAAAAAAAATCTTTTTTTTTCTTTTCTATCTCTATGGGGCGTTAACTATATTTTTCATCCTCCCCTTTTGCCCATAAAACATTATCAGATTTCTTTTTCAAGTAAATAGTAATACATGCACAATCACAACAGATGTCTTGTCATTACAAAAAAAGCTTACAACGAAATCATTATCCACTCTTTCTTACATGGAAATATTTTGAGCTGATAAATCGATTTGAGCTGGAGACTTATTGCGATTTTCGACAATCATCTTATCGATTTTACTCTGCAAACTTGCATTTCTGTTTCTCTCGCTGCATGTTGATCGTTCTAGCATGACTCCAATGAAGAGCATCGTTGAGTAGTGTGATCGAATCAACCAGATTGCCGTGCTTATTTGATGAAGGGGTTAGACGCAGACGCTCGACCCATTATGAAAAATGATCCACTCGAGAAGACTCGATCTGAATATCCAGATGGTTGTTGAAGATTATTTTTTAAAGATTCTTATTGGCACTGGAATAATATGCGATGAAAGTATAGTGATGATACTCTACACTCATGATTCTAGCTCATAGAAGCTGGTCAATGGTGTATATCAAAGTGAACAATTCGACTGAATCGAACATTGGTTCACTTATTTGACATATTGTTTCACATCATGCAAATTAATATTCCTTTGGAGAAAATACCAATCAGACAATTATTTTTGTCGTTTAGACAAATAACACGCGCCAAATAGATTTTCGAATTTGGCTTCGGCTTTATTTTTCAAACAGTGATTCAAAAAACAAATTGAAGAACTTATATATTCAAGTGAAAAAAGTTTATTTTGCTCTATAGAATTATATTTCGATTTGAATGAACTGAATTTGAGTCTGTCAATGTGAGATCACGCACTTGAAACATCTTTTCTTTGACTATTATTGTTATTTGATTCATCCACGAAATTTTCTAGAAAGCAAATGATGATTATTTTCATTAGATTGAACTGACACAGTCAGAGACTGGATGAAAAATTCTGATTGTTTGCACTCATCTCTTATTTGCACGTGCAACCATGTATGCCTAGTTACCCCCACTTGGTTCTCTCCTTCGTAGTATTCATTAGTAGCGAGTCTTGCAACCAGGAATGAACATATAGCGTAGTTAGCACCCCCAGTACTTTTTCATACACCGTGTCTAAGATGAAGTGACGAGCAGTGAAAAAAATAACATTTTCGGCACTTGTGAAGATCCAGGACGAATTGAGATTCGTAGATTTGGGCGTGTGGTGGAGGGGAGGGTAATCTTCTAATATTGTTTGTTAGTTAACTGTTGAATTAATATAAACATCAGTTAATCCAGATTCTAATTCATTAATTAATTGATGTAATTTTGATTGTTTAGTCGTTGCTTATAAATGGATTTTACGTATCATTTATATTGCTTCCATTATTTTTAGTGGTGATTCTATTGACATACAACCATCATGATCAGCGGTGGGTGTGGGTCTGAGCGTCCATGTGGATCATTTATTCTCTTACATTCACATCTGCCCACACCCACACTCTTTGACAGTGTTCGAAACAAGTTTCAAACTTCACTCTATTTATGTTTTTTTTTTGTGAACAAGCCGGTGGTGATGTTGTTTTTCATCATGGCGCATTGAATTCTGAAGGGTGTAGGTGTGGTTGTGGATGTGGAGGAGTGAATGTGGGTGTGAAGAGGAGACCTATACTCACCCACCCTCAGCCTCACACTTACCTATCTACCCACACCACACCCACTGATCCTCAAACATTTGTTATGCAAAATAGGACAGGACTTCTAGATCGTCCGTTGCCCACAGATACATCTTCTTATCAAATGCTTTATTTTATTTAAAATAAAAAGTATCAATATATAGTCAAATGTATGCTAAAATAATATTAGATGTCTAATAAAGCCACAACGTTAAAAATGCACTATATTTTTGATAAGAGCTTGATTGCAACCGTTTTCACTTCATAATAAGGTTCAAGGCCATATTTACCTAATTCGCGGCCGATTCCTGATTGTTTGAAACCACCAAATGGAGCCTGAAACTTCATTGCCGCATAGGTATTTACCCACACGGAGCCTGCTTGCAGTTCTTGGACAAATTTCAGGGCACGTGTTACTAAGAAACAAAAAAAAGAATATGAGTGATAATACTGCCATCACATTATATCTATTACAATCTTTCGTAATGACACCAGCAACTAGACCAAAGTTTGTTGCATTAGCTCGTTCAATCACTTCATCGTACGAATCAAACTTGAGTACGCACATGACTGGTCCGAATATCTACATCGAAAAAAATTCAATTCCAATCATTGACATAGAAAATAGCAGAACCTCTTCACGTGCAATTTTCATATCGTCCGTGACACTACTGAACACTGTCGGTTTAATAAAATAACCCTTATCATTGATTTTTTCGCCACCACATTCTAGTTTAGCACCTGCTTTTTTGCCTAACTCAACATAATTGAGAATCTTTTGGAATTGATCTTTGTTGATCTATTCGAAAGAATTTGATTAGAAGAAAAAGCCTAACAACAAAGCTTACCTGTGGGCCTTGTTGTGTATTTGCATCGAATGGATCACCGACGATCCGTTTTTTAGCAAGTGCAACACTTTTTTTTATGAATTCATCATAGATTTTCGCATGCACAAATGTACGCGATGCAGCAATACAATTTTGTGCTGCATTATGAAAGATTGCTTCGTGAGCGACATAAACAGCAAAATCAACTAGAAGATTCAACTTGACATTGATTGTCATTAAATTTTCTCTTGAACTCACCATCAGCATCTTCACAAATGATCAATGGAGATTTGCCACCTGTGTTCGAATAAGAAAGAAATAGAATATTTCATATTAAGATCAATTTATTACACTGACCAAGTTCAAGTGTTACTCGTTTTAGATTTGATTTAGCTGCACCTTCTTGAATTTTTTTTCCTACCTAGACAGGGGTGGCGCGAGTCAACCAACATTGGGGGGGTGTAGCGAAATTTTTTGGACTAGAAAGACGAAGTCTGCAATTTTTCGGGGGGTGTAACATTGTTTTTGGTGACAAATGGAAGAAAATTTCCTGATTTTGTTGAGCAAAAAAACAGAAATTTTTGAAGATTGGGGGGGTGTTGCACCCCCGACTACCCCCCGGTCGCGCCACCCCTGTACCTACACAAGCTATGATGTCACACGGTTGTTTTTGTCTTCATTCATTGACTTACTTCAACTGAGCCTGTAAATGACACTTTATCAATATGATCGTGAACGACAATCGCATTGCCACAGTTAGGTCCGTCCCCTAAAAAGACAACAAAATGTCAAGCTCTTATTAACAACAGTCATTTAGTAGATAACCTGGTACAATATTGACAACACCCGGTGGAAAGCCGGCCTAGAAAAATCTCTGAATAAAACTGAAGCGAAAATACTATAGATACCTCTTTGATTAGAGCAGCACAATACAAGGCAGTAAGTGGCGTCTCTTCAGCTGGCTTGAGAACGACCACATTTCCTATTCAACAAAACATGGAATGAAACCAAAGAAAGCGAATCAAAATTTTCGCTTACCACAAGCTAATGCCGGTCCGAGTTTCAAAGCTAACATTAAGACCTAAATTGAAAGAAAAAGCTTGATAACATGTTTCAACATTGAATAAAGCCATACTGGATAGTTCCTACAACGAACAGAGGTATAGTATTTCAGATTTTGTAAAGTAGCCTTCTCACCATGGAATAATTTGTCCGCAGACACCAACAGGTTCATGTCGGGTATAGAGAAATGTGTCCGATGTTGATGGAATTGTTTCACCAGTAAATTTATCGGTCCATCCAGCGTCTACGCAAAATAGAAATGATACATTGAATCACAGAGAATCAGAGTGAAAACGTACAATAATCGATGCATGCAGCTGATCCCATGATGTCGATCTTACTGTTTGCTAATGGTTTACCGTTATTAAGTGTTTCCAATTGCTACAATAAAAAGACCTAGATCTTCTATTTTTCGTCGCTCAAAAAAGGATAACTGACCGCAAGGTATACAATATCACGGCGAAGTAGTTCAGCAAATTTGCGCATTAAATTTCCACGTGCAGATGGTTCCAATTTTCGCCATGGTGAATCAATGCGAAAAGCTTTTCGAGCGGCTTCCACTGCCTTGTCAATATCATCCTGGATTGATCAATAGGAAGATTGTACAAAGAAAACAAAAATGATGTTAAAATAGACCTTAGTTCCTTCTTCCACTCGACAAATCTCTTCACCTGTGCTGGGATTGATGACAGGAAAAGTTTTACCATTCACTGCTTTATGCCATTCGTTATTGATAAAAATCTGTGTATATTTAATCTCAATAGTCGGAACCTTCAACGTGAATGATGACATCTACAATATACAAAGCAATAATTTGCATGAATTTTTTCGAGAAGCATCGAATTCAACACAAATTTGTGCTTGTCTTTTTCATTTCTGAATCTAAAGACCGATTTATTGTCTTCACATGCACCAGCTATGTAATAGAGATTGACTGTGAAGGAAAGACTTGTCAGACCAGTTTAATTAATGTCAACATATGTCAATTCATAAGAACTATTGTGGCAAAATGTATCTTACGCCTTCTTTCATTCTGTCAGTGGTTAGTTTGATAATTAATAAAGTGTTACCTAGGGGCTATTCGTTGTCGGGAAAGATTAGCGTCTATTTGACTTATATAGTCGATGCTTGCATAGAAAAAAAAAGGGCAAATTATCTCCACACAAACTTGTTGCTCACTGTCGGTTCTTATCTTTCTTTGACCTGCATATCACTATCCAGCAAATTACTTTGTGCACATCTTTTTCTTTTACTGACGTTTTTTTTGGTAACCATATGTCAAGCTTGTTGTCCTCGCTGCGAAGAAACATATTTTTTTTCGGTCATTTCACTTTCAATATTTAACTCAAATTTCATCCTCCAATTAATTGATTGAAAAATGAAAGAGATTTTAGTTCAGTGCATCTATTCGTTGAGCACATATGAAGAGCATCATAACAGTGACATTTCACTCCGGACAGACAATGGCCAACTGAGAAAAAAAATTGTCAATTTGATCGTTTTTTATACTTTCGTTTGTATACTTTCAGCCAACGATAGTTCATGTATCGAGCAAGCTATAAATTTCACCGTTCGACTCATCTTCTTACCGGTCCTTCATCTAGCAGTTCAATTTGTTTTGCTCTTATTAAATAATGCTTCCCATTGTATGTATCACTGGCCTTCTGGCCATTCTCATTTTTCAAGAACAAAAACTGCGTTAAATAGGCTGCATGTGACGAACTTGAGGAGGGAAGTGCCCGTAAAACAGTGGTACTCGTTTCATTTGGCTTCTTCTCACAACAAATCGTCCACTTTACACACAAAACATACGCTTATATAGGAAACATAGACAATGAACAGTCGTCAAGCGTAGCGATCACAAGTTCAATAGAAAGAAAAAGATAGATGAAGAGGATACATTTCGTGACACTGTGGTCTTTATCTATATAGCAACGGCAAAATGCTTGCGAATCGTATTTTTGGTCGATACTTGAGGGTGTGGGTTTATCCTCCCTCTATGGAAACCTGGACACCGACACCCACATCCACACTCTCGGGTGTGACGTGAAGAGCACAAGTACACCCACACTCACACCCTCAACATATGAAATGAAGTTATTATGGGTATCAGAATAGATTAAATTCGCGTATCCATGGAAGTCCTTGAGAATTCTAGAAATTGATCAAGATAATGGAAGCAGAAGAGAAATGTATCCAAAATATTAATCCACAGTGATCTTTTGCGCTAAGTGTCAATAAGAAATCGAATAAACACCTTGTATAACTGATTGATAAAGCAGTATCTCGTTGCATCATTTCATCTTCTGAATGGTTCGCCTTTTGTTGACGCAAAAAGAAAATTAAGATGCTTCCATACATGGCATCTGAGGTTGTAGGTGCAGTTCTTCTCTTCTTTTGCACTCACACCCACGCCTGCGCCCTCAACTCGAACAAAAATACATCGGTGAATTGAACTCCAAATCTGCATATACACACACGCATTCTGCTCCAATATTCTTTGTCTCGTCTTACTCGGATATCGTGTCTGGTACTAGATGACGTCTACAAAACAGAAGATATCAGTGCGAAACACGATGTATGTTATTCGAATCGATTTATTGAGTGACAATTGATGACAAAAGAGGCGAACATGGACATGCATTCTGAATTGATTTAGACATTTCGGGCCATACTTCGATCGGCGAAGATCAACTCATTCTGCTATGAGATTTCAATTGGTTCGAGTAATGCTTATTTGAGAAAGAATCTCTTCAAGCACAAACTTCTTAGATAGAATAATACCAATTCCTCGGACTCCACCCATTCACACTTATTCCTAAAAGATGTAGATGTATAATGCAGAATTATTTATTACCACAATGATGAAAATTTTCTCATTTTGATTCTTCTTTTAAAAATTTCAGAAAAAAGCAATATTTCGTTGAAAAAATTATGGTTGCCGATGTCAATCAATAGGAATCTTCGTTTCTTACATGTCATTGCCAGTATGCAGTAAACGTGTATTCACCAGATGTTATTCTCACTGAGATAGTACTGGTTACGTGATTTTCAGCCAAATCACTCACTCCACGCACATCTGAAAACAGTCGCAATTCATCATTCTGATTTTTTCTCATCCAAACTATTTCATCATCACACATAAGTTTGAAACATTGGCCATTCTTGATCAATGGGTCAAATAAAACATTTGCATTCATATTGTTTGGTATAGCTACTGACAATACCACGGCGTCGACTGATACTCGCGTCCATTGCACTCGAACTTTTCCCTTGATAGTTACTACTTCTGCTTCTGTATAGTTCAAGAGATCAGCAGTATAGGACATTCTTGGATGAACAGTAATCGTGTTCAGTGCATTCAACTCAATTCCCGCCAAATATCGATAGAACCAAGCACCAATACTGTTAAACATGTGATGATTCAACGATGATCTTGCTTCTGTCGGCAAGCTATTCCATTGTTCCCATGTAGTTGTAGCATTTTGAATAGGATTATTAAACATGTAGCCATAGGATGGATAGGTGGTTGATAGAGCAAGTTTCAAAGCCAGATCATGGTGTCCTTCCTTGGAGAGAAGAGGATATAGGGCTGATACACTGATAATACCTCCAGTAAAATAACCAGTATTGATGAGACTGTTGACCAATGAATTGAGTACAGTAGCACGAAGCGATTCTGGTACAACATCGGACAACGTCAATGACAATATATTTGCTGATTGACTTCCATCTGCATAGCCACTGACACTTGAATTATAGAAAACATCGTGCCATTCTTCAGTCAATTGTTGATATACTTGTGAATACTTCTGAACATTATCGGTCTGATTCAATAATTCACTCATATTGATAAATGTGTACACATCGCGTAGAAAGGCATAGGAAGATACCAGCGAATTGTTCTTGATTTTTTGGACTGGTACCCAATCACCCCAATGATAATACATGTTCGCCAAGCCAGTCTTCTTGTATTCGCCAATCAAAAAATCGATCCATGCTTGAATACCTGTATAATATTTTCCGATGATAGTGACGTCACCCGTGTGTTCATACAAATACCAAGTGATGGTCACATATGCTGTACCCCAGTTTGGATCAGCAGGAATGAAACCTGTCATGAATGGCACTGTGTCACTGACCATACCATCAGGCGTTTGATTGTCTTCAATCATAGTCAGAAAGTTTAAATAGAAATTGACATAATCAAAATTGTACAATGCTTCGTCGACACTGAGTCCAGCATCGCCCATCCATCCTGTTCGGTCATTCCGCTGAGGACAACCGTAGGGTAATGACATAGCATTGCTTAGCTGAGACCAGAGAATATTATGCTGAATCTGATTCAAAACAATACTACTGGTACTGAAATTACCGATCAATGTGGTCTCGCTATGAGCATTGTAGCATTCGACATCGTTCGGATTGATGTTGTTATAGCCATTTACTAATAAATAGCGAAAACCATGGCTAGTAAATAGAGGCTCGAATGTTTCATTGCCTGTTCCATTCAAGATTACGGTGTCCATAACAGCAATACTATCCAAATTTTCATAGTACAATCCAGCAAAATCAATGCCATTTGCACCACGCGAGTATCGTAGTTCTGCATAACGTAATTGAATAATGGTAGATTTCGTGGCATCCAGTGAGGATAATTTACACCAACCAGCGAAATTTTGACCAAGATCGAATATTTGACCATTGACGAAATCTTGGGAGATAGGCTTGAGTACACCGCTATCAGTAAGACTAGCACCTTGAACTCCGGCGAGGAGACCTGAGTGACCTGAAGTGGCAACATGCAGTGCATTGGGACCAATACGAATAGGATCCATAGTTTGCAGTGAGAATTGACCACCAGCTGTGAAGTTTACCGGTGATGGCAAGGTAGAAGCATTGATCCACAATGAGTTAGACTTAGTGAAATTGGCACATGACCAACAAGGAAGTGTTGCTCGAAGATCCATCGTTGTGCCCATGTATACGGAATCAAAGCGATGTTCGCCTTCTCGACCTAACCATGAAGAATCGGTGACAATCGACTGAACAGAACCATCGACATAGTGAATATTCAATTGCATCAATGCACGAGGTGGACCATAATGCTCGGCGAGTACAGTGCGTGCACCGAGTGAAATTTCCCACTGTTGTCGATTATACCAGCCTTGTCCCAATATGATTCCGATACCAATCCGTCCCGTAGTAGTGTTTATTACTTTAGTGAGATCATACGAGGCATAGAGTGTACGTTGTTGATATGTAGTCCATCCGACGTCTAGGCGTCGTGATGGATCAATCAATTGACCTTCTATATATAAATGATAATAACCAATACCACTGATGAAAGCAGTAGCAGACTGAATTGTAGTCGTTTTTAGATTGACGACAGTACGTAACTGATTCATGTTAATTTCATCACTGCCAATCCATTGACCCGTCCAGTCTTTGAGAGAAAAGAGTGCAGTACGAAAATGTGCCGTGTACCATTGGCTTTCGTGTTCTGTCGTGTAGTATTTGATATTCACTGTATAGTGCGTGTCAGAAGTGAATTGTGTACCTGCATAGAGAATATGTGAGCATGACGAAGAACGTACATAGTCACTGTTCCACATCAGTTGACCAGTGATAGCATTGTGCACCAGAATATGATAACCCACTTGTTGTACATCTCTGATCAAATGTCCATTATCATTGTGTTCATTAGTTAATTGCCATGAAAAATGTGGTGTTTGAGTATCAATGACGATATCACGATGCGTATTCACGTCCATATGTTGAATACGAACATTATGAGGTCTGATGCATGCTGAAGAAGAACATTTGCCAGATATTCTGATACTATTAAGAGCAACGTTGTGGCTCTGTATAGCCAATAATAGAACGATCTTTAACATCAGCATAAGAGTAGAATGAAGACTCAGAAACAAATTGTGAGATGAGAAGACAAACCAAAGAAAAAGATAACTGCTTCACTTGCAGCGATAGCAACATGTTTTTCAGGTAGGCTACCTAGATAGCGATACAGATAACGGCCTTTGTCGATGATTTTTTGTTTTTAGAAACAAGTGGTTTGTCTCTTACGTATTATAGCACAAGATCTCTTGTTGATTAATATCGGACGCAAATATCATGTGTTGAAAATGGGACCAATCAAACAGGAATTGAATCGACAAAGCATCGATGCCTGTGTAAAAAAATTGATGCGAATACTCGATTCTACATAGAATATAATCAGACAATAATCAAGAATATCGAAATTTCATCGATTATTCTAGTTACTTTTGATTAAAATCGATTTCACCATCATAAAGAAATCGCTTTTAATTATACGAAACCGATTAAAAATGATTTTTTTTTCACAATTTCAAATACGTTTTAATCAATTAAAATCGATTAGATTTTTAGTTGAAGATCCAGATTATGTTGTGAAAAAATCGATCTTAGTTGATTATCGTCGAGCAAAATCTATTATTTCATTGAATTTAATTTGAAAGTGGCATATATTTAATCGATGTTCTTGTGATTATTGTATAAAAATCGGTTTTAATCTGATTTTCAACTCCGTTTTTTACATAAAGTATTCGCTAGAGTATTCATTAATAGCATGACATTGAAAGGTAATGATATGTTTCTTTCCTATTGTAGAGTAGAAACAAAGAATCAAAGACAAACATGGTTAATCAATGATTCAGATAAATCAAAAGCTGATTTCAACTATACTGTTGCCACACTGGACTATACAAGAGAGTATGTACAAGGATCAGATGATCCATCAGTTCTCAATTTAAATTCATACACTATAACTCAGACACAAAGTTTAATAAATCATTTATCAACAACATATCTATTATGATAAAGAAAAGCACAATATAAAGAATGTATTATATTTTTTTTTAATAGAAGTTATTGAAGAGAATATTCATTTTTTGGGATGCAGTGTAGACAATCTTGACTTAAATAAGAGGTTAGATTTAATAATGGGACATTTTAAAGCCAACTCAACATGTTCTTTTGAGGGTAAAGCTATTCGGATGAGTGTGTAAACCTTCGGTTCACTCATCCTATTCTAGCATTTGTTGAATAGCAATGATCAGTTGTGTATCGCTAGAACTATGAGATTCCGCATTTCGAGAATAAAAAAGTTCTTGAATACCATTCGGTGTATTCTTGAATATTACTTCAAAAATCGGCTTCATATTTACTCTTAAGATCCTGTTGCCATCGTTGACAAATGAACAAGAGTTGCGAATTGAGAAAGTCCAATCGTATTTGTTAGATGATGGACTGAAGAAAATCAATGTTTCCAGTTTTTGAATCATTGTATCGTAGCAACTCCATGTGTGCTAATTCAATATCAGAAAGATGGATCTTGTTTAGAAATCACTGCTGAATTGTTTCTCCTATTTATTCTGGTACATTCAATGTTAGTTTACACTGAAAGATATGATATTTACAAAGAGAAGCTTTTAGTGCGATCTCGATCGAGTTTTCAATACAAATCACTATGAAACTATTTTCATTGACGATATAATCATTATGGGAGTGTCTCTTACTTCATGTGATCATCTTAGACATGTTATTTTTATTTTATTTCTTCTTTTTGTAAATTACAAGTGTTCTATACTGAAAATCAAATTTGAATAAAAAAGAAATAGATGCTAGTCTACATTTATCAATCATTCATGTGCCAGGTTTTCCTTTAGTTTGACAACCTGTATAATACGTCGAGGTATATTGTCAGCTTTGTCTGATGTGATGACACCTTTGAAAGATGGCAATGGTGCCTTAGTTGGTTTTTGACTTTTGAAGTTCCTGAGTGTTGTTTTTTTTTGTCTCATTTTGAATGTGGTTATTGAATAGAAGATCATGAAAAACTAATTGCTATGTGACGATGAAGGTCTGCATTTCTTCTGGATAGTTTACCGCTATGCTTTGTTGTCTTTGTTTTTTTGTTATTAGTCAAGAGTAGGTATGCGCCAAACTCAAACCGTTTAGTTTTAGTGAGTTTAATCAAATGAGTTTGGATTGAGTGCTAAAAGTAATCAAATGATTCAAGTTTGAGCTTAGATCCATTTCTGCTCATATTATTATCTTCTATCGATGCACCAATTCTAATTCTTCAGCTAGAGTGAACTTGACTAGAATGGGAATTAAAATTGAAATTGGTGCACCTCTGAAAGAAAATAACATAACCAGAAGTGGATCTAAGCTCAAACTTGAATCATTCAATTACTTTTAGTACCAAACTCAAGCCCAAACTTCTGAAAGGGTTTATGTTTGAGTTTGAATTTGATGCATATCTACACTCAATGCGAAGTCTTGGTTTGTACTCTGTCCTCTGTAAGAATCAGCAATCAAAACCGTTATTAGAAATTTGGGGTATCTTTTTCTCAAGAAAATAATATGTTATAAACTTCATAGCAAGAGATTTTCTCTCGTCATGCATTGAAATGCATCTAATCAATGTCAAAACAAAACATACACATGTAAACAAATTAAATCACAAGAATCGTCACGACTTTCAAACTATATTCAAGACATAACACTAGTTTTCGACCAGATAGAGCAGACAGTTTTCTCATTCCTGTTTCCAGCTCTCAATAATGAATATCTGGTTTTCGTCTGAGAAAAATACAGAAGCACTCATGCTGTCTATTCATGAGAAATAAAAATATTTTATACACTGTTGTTTCTATACCAATCATTACGGTATGAGTGTAAGTGTCAGTGAAGAGAAGACTTACGTGGACCTCATTTAGACACCGTTACATCGACGTCAAACCCACCTTCAGGTCTTCGTTGAATATCTTTTAAGCTTCTAATATCGTTTTTTAAAATGATTTTGATTTATACATTATTGTAAAGAAAAAAATTGTATAAAAGATTTAATATCATATTCTGAAAATTTCCATAGAAATAAATATAGAAATTTTTATATTATTGACATATAACAAAAAAAAATGTAATAAAAAAAAGTCAAATAATATCGAAAGAAATTAATTAGAATCGATTCTTCAAGATGATATTATGTTTCTAATTAAAAATATTTTATAATTAGAATTTATTTATTATATTTTAATATTTGATTTTCATACATTAAGCAACGAAAGTATATTTCTCAATTACTTTAAAAGTAATAATACTTTATTTGTTCCACTTATTCACACCAATTAATCTAACATAGCAAACGAAGGTATGTAGAACATTATTTTCTTTGAATTAATCATACATTGTTGTTTTTTTCTAATTAACTAAATTAATATAAATATTTTTCTTTTTTCTGTCACTCAAAGAAGTCATTGAACGAGACCAAAACAAATTTTCCGCTTATATATGATTTAGCTTGTAAGAAGGAAAATATTCCAATTCTATTAATCATTTTTAACTAGAAACTCTTATATATTCATGCTAATGAAAAATTACGTATATTTTGATATGAAAAATGACGACATAAAACAAACAAAATACAATAGATAAAACTGTCCAATTGTTTCCACTTGTGTATAGTCTCTTGACAAATATGTATACACGATACATGAAAAAAAGCAAAAAATGAAATGAGCTTTACAGTCGAGAAAAACATTTAAAAGAAAAACATCACCTTAAAAATGAATTAATTAAAATTGTGAAGATGAATTTAAAAAAAAAAAAGACTTATGCGTTGAAAATGAGAAATGAATAAAAATATATCAAAAAGTTCTTTTTTTTTCTCTGTTCTCAATTAAAGAGATACTTGTTTTTCGTTCGATAATTTTATATCATCAGATCCCATAACAACATATGATGTACCATCTGAAACTTGTACAGCATGATAATGATCGTCTTCTGTTGCTGCTTGATGATATGATGTATCATATATAGGTGTTTTTGACTAAAATAAATTCAAAAATATTATTTTATTTATAAGAAAAAAATAATAATAATAATAAATTTTTATTTACATCCGAACGATTTGCCTGTTTGAAGTGTCGACGATAATTCTATATGAATTTAAAAATAATACATTAAATAATTACTTAAAAAAAAAAGATAAGCTTACATAAATATATAAAATGATAATAGTAAGTCCAGTAAGAATAAGTAGAAAAATGATCATACAGATCATATATTTACTACTCATACGTGTAAAATTTCTTAATTTTTCACATAATTTACCGACATATGTTTTAGTTGAACGTTCATTTTCAATATCGTCAATTACATTTACAACAACTGGTAAAACCGAACGGAATTCATGAGTATTCAACTAAAAAAATTAAAGATTAATTTTTAACTTTTTTTTTGTATTTTGTTTTACTAATTACATCATTATCAATTTGATCCATTTTCTTTTCAAATTCTTCCATATTTTCAGCAAAAAATGGCATTATTTGAAATGATGTTAAACCATTTTGTTGAACTGATG